CCCCCCCAGCCAGTCCTCCCTGAGCCAGCACCCCAGGCCTAAGATGTCCCCACTCTGTCCCCAGCCCAGAGGCCAAAACAGGCTTAGTCAATGGTGGTAAAAGTCATAAAGGGCATGTGGAAGGAAGCGAGGAGGAGAAGACAGAAGGGAGGAAGGGGCTGGGCTCCGCCTCATGGGCTGAGGACACGTTGGCAGCCATACCTTCTTGGACTTCCTCTGCAGAAGCAGCATCGTGGTGGAGAGAGGAGAGAGAGAGGGAGGGGAGAGAGAAGCATCTGTAAGTGGTTGTGGCCAAGTTGATACAACAAGAGGGAGGGCAGAGGGTCCAAGCAGAACCAGGATGTGAGTAGGTTACGTGCCCCTCTTGTTCTTTCCTGGCCCGGCTCCTGCACACACCCACACATGGCCACATGTGCCCACTGGCATTGAAGTCATGTCACATACCTGGTTCATGAACTTCATGGGTTAAGGAGGGCCATGGAACAAGAGGCAAAACGCAGGTCAGAGGTCAAAGGAGAAGGGATCCGAGGTTAATGGAAACAGCCCGTTGACACATGGGCCGAGAGAGGGGGCACATGCGGGAGCCAGCAAGACAGAGAGTCAGCGGAGGCTGTCCCATCCCCGTTCTACCCCCCAGATCCTGCCACATGCTCTCGGAATCTGATGCCTGAGTCCACCCCAACCTGTCCCACCACACGGATGGGACAAAGGCTGCATGGGGCATTTGGAACGCTGGTACTGGCTTCTGTTGTGATGACTTATTACTGTTGTAGTCAGGGGAGCAGACTCAGGATCGGGGTTCCTGTCTGCCTCTGCTTCTTCTCTTCCTGCCATCCTTAGGCTCCCCGGGGAAGGGAGGGGCTTCCATACCTCTGGTTGGGGCACAAAGGCTCAAGGGCACCAGGGGCAGAGGCAAGAGGGGCAGTGAGAAGCATGCCCAGGAGGCCTGTTTCCTGCTAGCCTAAGAGCTGGGAACCTATTCCCTTTCTTCCTCTGCTGGGGGCTCACCAGGCTTGCATGAGGCACCATCCTCCCACGATGAACAGACACCAGGGGCTCGGCCTCAAGTGCCTGTTCACATCGTGCTGTGCTATCCTAGCATCTGGGCTCTTAGTTCCCCACAATGTGGTAGAGGGCTAGGCTCCACTCACATCAGTGGTTTCCCCACTGCTTCTTTCTTGGGGTGCCTTTCGGATCTGCAGCCCAACCCACTCCAACTTAGCCAGGACTCGGCCCTTGGGGTCCCATGACCTCTCCAGTCAAGCATTGGCCATAGTTAGTGGGTTATGTGGGGGCCACATGTGGGCGCCCCTTGGCTGGCTGGTGCCTCACTGCTTCCTCGTCCCATACCCCTGCTCCCTTTCCCCCCCACATGGGCTCCAGCCAGGCCCCGGGCCCCACATGGGGACCAGAAGTCCTATGTTCTCGTACCTTCTTCATGGACTTCTGCAGCAGAGGAGTGCCGGGTGTGCAGGAGGAGAGAGGAGAGGTTAGATGGGCACACTGCACGCCCTTAGAGGAGGGGCTGGGGGTCGGGACCCAGCCGAGGGGGAGGTGGGTTTGTCAGGGTCAATGTAAGGCCAAAGGTTGGGGTGGGGGTCAAAGGGCAGGTGTGGGACTGGGGTCCTGGACCCCACTTACCTTCCTCCTGGGCCTCCTCTGAAGATGGGAAAAGCCGGAAGCAGGAAGGGAGAGAGAAGGAATAAAGATAGTTATTAGAGGGTGCACTCGGGGTAATGGGGACAGGAGGAACAGGGCAGTGGGTGCCCCAGCTTCAGCAACGTTGCTGGTGTGCAGCAGTCAGTCTGCCTCCCAGCATGGCTCCAGGGGCCCGGTGCCTAGGCCTTGGCCCTGCCTGTGCAGGGGGTCCTGTATCTCCCCTCCTGGCTTCCCTGTGTTGACGTGTTTGTGCAGAGAAGTTCTGGCAAAGTCTTGCCAGACAGGAGCGGGGAAGTGAGGCTGGGGACAGAACCCGCATGTCACGGGAAACACCGGGCGTGTTCATGTGGGCCCTTGCTGAGTGGGCCTCCGGTCAGGCTGGCATTGAGGGGTCTTGGAAGAAATGCTCACATGGAGACCCTCCCACGGCCACAGATCCACTCAGAGAAGTGTCTTTACAGCTTTTGACAAAAAAAGAAATTCTTTGCTCATGTTGTTAGGGTAGCCAAATGTTTTCAAAATATTTTCAAAACATAGCACCCAGAATTCCTTGCGGGATGGCCCTGCCTGCTGAAGTCACGAGAAAGCGTCCCCCAGTTGAGTGAGTGCCAGGGATCCTGAGCAGCGCCCATCAGGCCTGAGAACCGCTGGGCTGCGTGGTTCCCAGGTGTGCCCGCACCCTGTGCTCCCCGCCCGCCCACGCCTGTCTGGGCAAGACCAAGGCACCCAGAGACCACGCCCAGTCAGAGCGAGGGGGGGGTCTCCAGACTTCCCAAGGCCACAGTCCCACAGAGGTGGGGGTGGTGTAGAGATACTGAAAGAGAGAGAAATTGACAGACACTGAGAGAGAGAGAGAGACAGACAGAGAAGATAGAGAGACAGAGAGAGAGACAGAGTCAGACAGATGCAGAAAGAGATACTGAGAGATGCTGAGACAGAGAGCTACTAAATAGAGAGACACTGAGAAGTCAGAGAAGGAAAGATATTGAGAGGGACTGTGATGTTGACAGACAGAGAGACAGAGAGAGGCTGAGAGGCAGGCAGGGCCGCGCACGCTCAGGCACTTGATATTAATGAGAGTGAGCATCTTCATACCTCAACTAACTCCACACGTCTGTGTCCACTTGTGTGGACTAATGATAAAGATGTATTAATGAGTGATTAATGATACATGTTAATCGATTAAAGAGATGGGAGGTTAGCAATGATTTAATTAATGATCCGATTATTAATCATTAACTGCATTAATGATTAATGATGATCATTAATGAAGAATTCATCAATGATGAATTAATGATGACCATTACTGGTGCATTAATAGTGAGGAAGATGAATGGTTAATTGACAGACCCAGGAGGACCCCGGGGGGGAAAGGGATGAGAGCACCGAGCAGGAGGGGAGGGGGATCTGGGGTGGGGCAAGGGGCCTTCTGGGGGCTACCAGAGTTACCTTCCTCTTCGTATTGTTCTGCATTGGGATAGAATGAAAAAGAGGAGCCACATTAGCAGGCAGCCCAGCGGGTAGGGCGGGGGCCAGGGGCCAGCATGCCAGACCTGGACAGTCCAGAGACTCCTGTTGGCCTGGAATGGGGACCTGGACCTAAAGGAGGCTGGCTGCCTGGCACTGGAAGAGGAAAATGTGGTTCTCGCAATGATGGCGACTTTCTGGGGGAAGCTGAGTGCCCCTGGGTACCCAAGTCCTCCTGTGGGTATAAGAGCAGCCTCTGTTGCTCCTTGGATCCCACCGCCCTTGTTTGCTGAGTGGTATGAGCTCCATTTTGCCCAAGGAAGGGTTGAGGTCTAAGGCTCCAGAGGTGGGCCACTTTCAGAGGGGTCTCTCCAAAACCCAGTCACAGAATGCAGGGACTTGGGACTCCCAGGCTCAGGGCTCTCCAGGGGACACGTGTTATCCACAATCTACCTCCTATCCAATGTGGCTTTTCTCTCTAGAGGTGGAAGGGAAAAGAAAGAAAATAGCTGTGACACTTACCCTCGACCTGTTCACTGCAGGTAGCAGGAGAGAGAGAGAAAGAGAGAGAAAGAGGAGGTGAGGGTGGGCTTGGCTCACACAGGCTCATAACACACTGCTCATAACTAGCTGGTCCTCTAGTCTCTGCACACAAGCCAAGGGCCTGGGCCCAAGGCTGCTTCAGGGGAGGCAGG